ATGAAGTGAGCGTTCAAATACAAATGTGTTGGTGGAAATCATTCGGTTTCCATGAGCCTTAATTTGATTGGCCTTGTGTTAAATGTAGTATACTAAATAACTCTCAATTCTGAATATTTTTTTTATCTTTCCATTGAAAATTAGTATTTTATTATAAAAAAAACTGGCAGTACTGGAAGTACGAGCAGCTATACAAGATGCGTTCCAAAGTGAACAACTTTTTGGATCTAGCGCCCCCTAGTGGCGCCATCTATATGTCAACTACTGCGTTAGAATCTATATCGATTGTTCAGTAGGAGTTTCATGGCATCGATTCATTCATCGATTGGAAGTGAAGTTATTGCCTTTTCCGCGTCAGTATGTTTGTGTTATTGGTGCCACAATGAGCTTCGAACAAGAAGCCAACATTAAATTTTGATTAAAAATGGTAAAACTTTTACCAAAACGTTTCAATTGATGAAACAATTTTATGGCGATGATTGCCTATCTTGTTGCAGAGTGCACGAGTGGTTCCAACGTTTTCAAAGTGGTCGTGGGGACATAAATGACGATCAACATATGGACCAATCAAAATCCGTTTTCACCAGAAACTCTATCGAAACTGTGCGTGAATTAATCAAAAATTCGCCGAAATCGTCATTGAAATTTATGGAAATGGAATTTGAAATCTCCAAAACATCGATTTATCGTATTTTGACCGAACCACACAAATTGACTGCCGACAAAAGTTGCTCAGAATCCAACATTCGAAGGACGAGTATGTGACCAAAAATCATCCTTTTCGGAAAAATGCATTTACCCATGAAAGGAAAGCAGACGTAGAGGCCATTCAAAAGGTTTGCACCGGCATACTGGCGGTCATAAGGGCCAACGAGCTACAATATTCGTTCCAACTGCATTTGGACCATTTGCACCGTGCAAAAAGTTGTATTGAAGCAGAAGGAGACCATTTTGAATAAAATAAATTTATTCAGTCGAAAAAGCATTTATTCTGTTTTTAATTTAAAGTCCGGGTTACTTTGCAACGCTCCTTGTATGTGTGATATAGTAGACCGGATCTAATAATTTCTTCCATGCCTTTAGTGACAATCTACGCAAAATTTTATAAGATCTCAGACTTTAGCTTCTGGACACTATAAACTTTGTGGCGAACTTAATATACCCTCCCGAGGGTATAATTTAACTTAGCAAGCTTACGCCTTACCACGTACACACCGGTGGGGAAATGATCAGTTAGTATTCTTCAACTAGAGAAAGGCTAACTCCTCGAGTGGTTAGTTATTCTCGGAAAGAGATGGCGCTCCAGAGCAGTAGACACCCATCGCTTGAAATAAAAGGAAGGCAGGAAGTCTGAAACTTGTACTAATGAGAATAAATTTTACAAGCTACATTTCTTCGAGCCATGTTCCATGCGTATAAATGCTCTCACAGGTATGCCGGTGCTAAAAATTCTAACAGAGCATCCTTCGTCAACTCGATGATCCAATTAATCCCCAATCCGTGAAAGTGATGCTTCAAGCGTTGTTTAGGCGGTCCAAGTAAATGGTGAATCATTTGAATTAGATGGTACGCGGTATTACATACATGCATATTCCCTTGAACATTCCCAAGAGCTACCTCGTCTCGACATACTTGTTCATAAAACATTTTCAGCAGACCATTGACCATGATCCGGGAAATGCTGATGTTATGAGTGCAATGTTAACTGGAAGCACACAGCTCCTCATTTTCGGTATATGGAACTAGAAAATTATATGTATTTTAATAATTCAACTCGATTCCTTGCAATAGAGAGTCCCCCAAACCATTAACAGACTCAGATGAGGCATAATCAACAATTATATATAGAACACTGGAATAAAACGAGATTTAACGAAAGATCGGCGCAGAAGATTTTTGAAGTTATAATTTTTAGATCGTCGTGAGCTAACCCAGACAATGAGTTGGAAGCAACTTGAATGTATTAAGCAAGCTTACATTAGCAAGTATAAAATAAATATAAAATAATTGTTTCATACCGCCATTTTTTTACCCAGACCGAAACGTCGGAGACCCAAAAGAGAATATCTATATATAGTCGGAGAACATGTGTATACATAAATGAATACTAAAACGAGCTGAGTCTATTTAACTATGTCTGTATGCACTAGGCAGCTCCTTTCGAGTGATCAAAGCTATGCTAAGCCTAAGGTGAAGTTTTTTCTTGTTTAAACTTAAATATTTAGTCGCAATATCCCAAGAGCTCTGTTAAAATTTACAATCTATTTTCCATTTAGAAGTTCAAGGAATAGTTTAACGAATTTACAGCTTTTTGCGGAATAACCCCTTTGGACGGCATTAATCTGCCGCTTGCTGCATTCACTTGCGGCTACTTTGTAACGTCAATTCCATTTATACTTCAGCTGCCCAAAACTCAGAGCAACCAAATTACTTTCGCTTCTAAAAGCTCACAGTTTCCTTGGAAATAAAACAAATTGTCCATGTGTTAATGTGTATGTGTGATTGTGTATGTGTGCTGTTGCGCCCACTAGCATGTGTCTTTGAAACTTTATCTCTTTCGAATCGCTGGCACACATGCAAAGGACTTCATCGGCCGTTCACTAAATAATTTCGCCATTTGATCGATTTATTATTGCCAAAGTTCATTCATTCACTGTTGTTATTGTTYGATATGTAAAATTGCCCACAACACTGTTGCCATATGTGTGTCGATGTTTTGTTCGCACTGCCACTTTGTTTTCTTTGCGTCGCGTTTGACATTCAAATTGATGCAACACTGACAATATTGTCAAAGTTTCTCGSCAGCACATTCACGCACACACACACATAAACATCACCGCCAATTGTTCGACATCTTGGTGGGCTATTTGGCGGTCTTTCTTTGTTTTTGTGTCGCAATAAAAGTTTCGATAGCCTTTTTATGCACACAAGAGCGCCAGCTGGGGCTGAGCAGCGCGTCGGGGCGTATGAGTTACCTGCTTATATGGACGCAGTGGTGTGGCAAGCGCTTAGCGGAGTTTTGAGCACTTTTGTTTAAGAGTGTTCGCTTTTTTACGAGCAGCTCAGCTGCAGCTCATATGATTTCGATATCCATTTGGTGAGAAGTTTTGTCGCATGAGTTATTTAAATATTCATGTTATGTTATAGCTATACAAACATGGGTTTATAGTTGTTGTATCAAACTTTTAGATGGTTGTAGTTGTTGTGAAAATGTAGTCTTTCCGAACCGAAGGGTTACGTTTTAGCTAATAAAAGGTATTTCGGAATATGCAGGGCTACTTAATTCGGCATATGCGACCTCTTGGGAAAATAAGAAGCGTTTTTATGCCTATTTAGACAGGCAAACGTATTGATAAAGATCTTTAACTGATGAGTATAGTAGTGGGAACTTTTCTTCACATATGTGATGAAAGTTTTCTGAACGTCATTCACTTGTTGGTGGCCAGAAACAATTCTTCTATATATAGTTTAAGCTGCCAACGACTTCCAGTCTTAGGCGAAACATCATCCCTTTGAAAGCGAGTTAAAGTAAGAAGGCTACACATTTTAACTGATAATTGTGCGCCGGGTTTGTGATCTGCCACTGCAATAACGCTCCCAGTGAAAAAGAAGCAACAGCCTCATACGAGAGCCCCACATTTTGATGACGATCACTGCAAATGTATTAAGCATTGTCGTAATCCTTAAGAGGTCGTGCAATGGCACTTAATTGGGAAGGTGCCACTGCCGAAACGGTGGAAGTCCTCGTAAAAGTAAAGGCTGACAACACCGATGTCCAAGAGGGGCGATGAATGGTGCAATGACTGAGACTAAAAGGGCCTTGTGGCAATTACTACAGTGGCTATAACAAGGCGCGCAAAATCGGCGTGGGATTCGTAGCGGGGAGAGACTCTGTCGAGAAGTTCTGGCATGTACCCCGGTGGATGAACATCTAGCCACAATGCGCATCGGAGAGATATTCTTCAACATGCCCCGATGGAAGAGAAGGGTAATGCGAGCCGTGTAGCGCACATATGAGGCCTGCTCCGCAACGATGTCAAAATCATGCTTAGCGACTTTAACGCTAAGGTGTCTGTGCTTTGGTACAACGGTCGATGAATTCAGCCTCCACGGTGAAACATTCCCAAATGGATTGAGGCCGGATGCCGAAATATGGTTATCTCTTGTACTACCCGGATGTCTCCGAATCAAAAAGCCTTCAACCATATCGATTATACTTGTCTCAATGAAGCAAAAAACGCACGTCAACAAACACAGCGAAGACTCTCTGAGAACACTCATCAACAAATCGGTATAAGGGTACTGTGGGACGGCATTTCAAACTCCTTATTTACAGCTGTAAGTTAAACCATTGGTTTTCAGATAGCACAAAAGAACAGCTGGTACGACGAGCAATGCCGGGTCGCTGTATATCGAACGTACAGTGAAAAATTTAAGCGCACCGTCAATAAACTGATAGAACCTTATCGGTGAGGCTTAAGGCCTAAAAAATAAACAACTGATCCGATATTCACCATGCGCCAAGTCTTGGAAAAGACCCTGAAAGGAGAATCGACACACGCACCACCTGTTCATCGATTTCACAGCTGCTTTTGACTGCACGAAAAGGAGCTGAGCAGCAACAAAAGCTCCGTCGGGATCGGGAAGGAACTCTCCGAGCCGTTCGATACCCAACGAGGTTTCAGACAAGGCGACTGTCTTTCGTGTGAATTCTTCAATCTACTGCTGGAAAAATAATCGAGCCACAGGACTGAAAAAGAAGGTACTTCCTTCTATAAGAGTTAACAGCTGCCGAATGCATTGCAATAATTGGGTATAATATTTGTTGAAAATAGAAATAATTTCGTACACCCACACTTTAATTATCGATTTTGAGTTTGTGATTATTTTTATTTTGACCTTAGTGCAAACATTTCTTCTACAAGCGATAATGAATATGTTTTATGAATTTACTTTTACTAATTACTCGTCATGGTAGAATCACGTAAGTGGAAACTCACCTTTTTCATGAACGTCATTACATTGGTGGGCAACATTTTGCTGACTTATCGCTCTCTCGCAGTAACAGGTGAAATTTAGGTTATAATGAACGGTTTTTCGTTTCTCACTTCGCTGCACAGCTAATGATTTCCGTGTGTCTCAACCGCCTAACGGCCAAAAAACTCCAGTTTCTATTTACTGCTCGCAGCCAATTTATTGTTACTTTTGATGAATTCAAGTCTTTTTCTATTATTTATGCCACACTTCGCGCCATTTTGTTGCGCGCGAATGCACAAATTTTTAATTATTTTAATGGCAAAGCGAAGTGTTTGGCTTTGAGTGCGGCTATCTCTGTGTGTGTGTGTATGCCGTATGACAACTGAGTTTTTATAATTAAGTTTGTTTGACTGTATTTTGTGAGAAACGGGGTCACGCAGCTGCAAGGTTGCAAGTTTAACGGCTGGTGTTTACATAAAAGCAACAAAACCAACACTGGTGTGCGCCACAGGTTGCATGATGTGCGCGTTTTTCGGCAGCAATGGTGTAAGCTTGTCAGGTAACGGTATTCAATGCTGCTATTCGATGCGCTGTCTGCAAAAATTTTTTTCTCTTTAAATTTTTTTGGTTTGCGTTTTTTGTGATTTCTTTCGCAACAACAACAAAATATTATTTTTCAAGCTCTGAAACGCTAATAACCAGTTTTTTCATTGTTCTCCTGTACTTTACAGTTCAATAACTGGATTGCAACTGTAATAACGGTGCTTTTGCTCGCGCTGCCACATCCGCTTGGCCGTATTCCGGTCCACAGCCAGCAGCTGACAGTATAATTGGCGTTGTTGTTGCTGTTGTTTTTGTTGCCGTTCAATGCAGTGTCGTGTGGAGTCAAAATTTGTGCCGCTTTGTATGCGCACGGTTCGTGCAACGCCGTGTAATTACGCTGATTTCGCCGATTACAAGTGCGCCACACTAACACATGCATGCAACACGCATTTACTGTTGCGCGTCATTATTTTCTCTACGGTTATTATCGTTGGTGGAGCGCGTTTTATTTGCTTTGCCACTGCTTGTTGCTTTATTTTCGCGCCGCCTTCAACCGAAATTTACATTTGCTGCTTTTTTGTTATTTCAATAGCATAATTTCGGGCGCTTTAACAAGGCGCCACACAGTTTCGGTTAGTTTTTTGTTGTAGTACAGTTGCCTGCTTAAACGCGTGACTGACTGGCTCAATGCATTCGTTTACTTAACTACCTCTCTTCCGTGCCTTCTTCCGCTCGCTTACTTCGCCGCTTTTCTTCTCACTTCTACTTTGCTTTTACTGGCACTTTTCAGGTGCAGCTTGACTCGCTGCCGTCTCGTGGCATTGTTGATGTACGCTTTCTGCCCATTTGCATTTGAATGCAGTCAGCATTTTTCTGGAAATTCCGTGTAACGGTGAATTAAAACTTTTCGAATGAAATTCACAGACCAAAGAGCGGCTAGTTGAAGGTTTTTATGTTTTACGGTGTAATTTCATAATTTTTTCGTTTCATAAGCCGTATTTGCGTCGTAATTCTGCAAGAAAGAAGGAATATAATATTTGTATGATTAATAATAAAAATTTGAATAGTTAATTCAAAAAAACATATACTATAGAAAAAGTTATATCTTAGAAATACAGTTTGGAAAGCTCTAGATAAAGCTAACAGTAATGATACTAGAGAGACAGAGTGAGATCGGCTTTGGCTTGTCTCAAATGCTTTCACATCTATATTTCTCATTGAGTTTTCTTGAATTATCAACAGCAAGTGTAGCAATTGATTCTTGCGACCTTCTGCAGCCCAACAAATCGCACTTCCACACATACCTTACAATAGTAAAACACATATTTTAGCAAAATTCGATTTTTTATTCAACATATTTCCTTTTCGCTGGAGGTCAGGTCTGGAGAATACAGTGAATGCGGAAGTAATTCATAGACCACTACTAGGATTTTTGCCATCGTTTTCACTGACTTTTGAAACGGTGCACTGGCTTGGTGGCACATCACTTTCTTTTCTTCAAATGTGGTAGCTTCTCAGCAATTTCGTCTTCAAAGCGGTCCAATAGTGCCATATAAGAGTCGCTGTAGATGGTTCTCCCGTTACGAGGTAGTCGATGAAAATCGTCCCATGGGCATCCCAAAATACAGACGTCATAACCCTGCCAGACGACTGTAACGTTTTTCCACCACTTTTGAGCGGATTCATCTTGTGCGGTTCACTCGTGTACCTATCGATTTGGTTTGGTGGCTGATATAAAGGGATCGCACGTGGACTACTATATGTACTCCTTTGTAAAGCACTAGAAAAGAAAAACTCCTGTGTTCGAAGTTATAAATTAGCAAAACGCTTAGTAGACAATACAAATTTGCAGAAGCGTTTAATTTCCTTTTATGCCAATTCGGTGGGATGTCTGAAGGTGTGCTTTCCCAAGTGTTTAAGTCTTGACTTCCCAAACACGGTATAGTCACGAAGGAAGTGCTGAGTTTTTTCTACCTCGTTTTCTTCCAAACAGCTTCTACAGATGGCGGCTGGTAAGTTTCCCAACTTTACAGCATAGCCGCCAATCGGGTTAGAATCACTGAGGGCAAATATATTACTATATCTCTTGCGATGGTTGTTGGGTCAGAAGGCTTTTGCGACAAGGCATGTATTGATGGAAGTTCCCACGAAACTCGGCTGTTTAGTAGTAGAACACAACAGGATACGGCACCACCGACCTGCTCCTATTCCACTGATAACGGTTCCATGGTGCATTTTCCTTCGAGGTCATCTGCTTTAAAGTTTTCTGAGATTTCGCTGTGGCCTGGTATGCAAAACACTCGATGTTATTGATAGCGAGGTTAGGCACTCTTTAATTAGCCAAGAAGGCACTGTTAATGAGATCAATTCGTATAGCACTGCTCTGCTTTCTGAGTGGATGGTCTTTGGAGGAGGCTTAATGATTGAAACCTTGGCCTGGAAGACACTGTAATACTCCGGAAGTCTGATGCTGGAGTTGATAGAGAGCTCCTTAAGGTAAACCCGTTCCCCAAGCCTTAACCCGTCCGTAAAGCAGCTCACTGCCCCTCTCCACCAACGGTTTCTTCTTACCCATATGGGCAGAGAATCCAAGTGATCCGGTATGATGTCAAAGTATGTTAAGATTTCCGAGTTCAGACATGTTTTTTTTTTTTAGAAACCTTGTTCCCTGAGTCTGATAGCAACTTTCGCAGCCATACTCGATCCGACGATGTCTACGGGCATTATGTGTAAAGTGGTGTTAAGTGCCATGGTTGGAGTGGACCTGACTGCATCACACATGCTGATGAGCGCTGGTCGTTGAACTCGCTCGAGTTTCTTTGCAAGTGCGGTATTTTCTAGAGCCCTTTATCACAAGACTACATAGATCATAATGGGCTTGACTATATTGTCGTAAAGCCAGATAACTACTTTCGGTGAGAGCCTCTACCTTTCGCCAATGTCTCCTCAACAGAAGTACAAGGCAAACGATGCCTTTTTTACTCCCTCTTCGATATTCGGTTTCCAGGCAGGTCGGGAACTCTTCATTTGACCTATTATGACTTTTGCTCACAGTATAAATATGGTAATCTTATTCGTATTAAATCGACGTTCTGTGAATTTTCCTAAACTGTTTAGAACCTCTACAAACCATCAACTATTTTATTTACATTTATTCATATGTCTATGTGTCCACAACTTTAAGTAACTTAAATCGTTTCAAGTTAAGAGTGAATTTAGTTTACTCTGAAAAGTTTATTCCAGCGTCCACTGTGTGTATTATCTTCAAAACTAACTTTGCATTGCCAGCTACTATCAGCTTTTTAGGAAAGACATATCAAGATTCATAAGAAATCAAAATACTCCAACAGGCACTTTGGCTTAGGACAACTTGCCACAGATATGTCCACATATCTGTGTCTGCCTTCCATTTGAATAACAAAATAATACATTTTATTGAGTGCAATTACCATTAGTTGACATGATGAGACTTACATATTTATTAGGGTGTTGCTATTTTCTTAATGGATAAAATATTCTGATAAATCGTATAGTGTTAGGTTCCGAAAATGACGTTAGAAAATGACGTTATGCATGATTAGTTTGGATATTGCGTTCAATGCGCGCTATTTTAAAGTTTTCCTTCGTTAAAGGCAAGTCCGCTAGAGGGGGGTATTATGAAGTTGCCTTCTAGAAGATTATATGTCCCCAGGAACCTTCATTTTGAACGTCTAGTATACTAAAAATACTAAGAAATTAAAAAGTACAAAAAATGTCCGAGCTATGATTTTTCTCTGTCTCTGTGAGTAATCACCTCATTTATTACAGCAACAGAATGGTTTTTGCTAAATGAAATATATTTAGTATACATACAAGCATATTGCACCAGCCGTCTCTCGTCTTTCGTGTCAAAAAAAACAAAAAAAA